AACCACTAACCAGAGTTATGCGTCCGATGTGCCTCAAGTCTTCCATATTTCCTGCAAGACATTTTGGGAATATTTATCATAATGTGACTCATTTCCCCCGTCCGCTCGCGTGTGCCGCGTCGTCACCGAGCACAAGCGGTTGATTTTTTTTTGGTTAGCCGATGTCGCCATGTGAACTGCGTTTAAACTCACACATGTATGGGTTTGTGTGTGTCACGTCTGTGTGTGTTTAACCAGCTCCGCGATGGTCTAATTGGTTTAGCAGCCAAAGGGAGTCAAAGGGCAGCGTAGCGTATCGAGACGCAACGTGAACCTGATGCTGGGAAGGATGCTTTCTGTCGCCTGAGAGGGAAGACCATGTGTGAGGCTTCCTGGAAAACACTTCTCCAGCCCCAAACACGATTTCATCTTTCTCTCTTATGCGTTTTTTTTTTTACATGATACGTTTTCTTGTTGACCAGACCCCTTCTTTTCTATGTTGTAGAGCAACATAGCTAGAATATAGTTGACTAAATTGACCGCTTTGCAATGAAATACTAGTTTCCTGCATACTGTATGCATCACAGTGTTGGGCATGTTACTTTTAAAAAGTAATTAGTTACAGTTACTAGTTACTACTTCCAAAAAGTAACTAAATTAGTTACTCAGTTACAAATTTTAAAAGTAACTAGTTACTTAAGAAAGTAACTATTGCGTTACTTTCAAGTACAATTAAATTTTAAATGCTCAAATGTGACCCCACCTCTACCCCTCTTTAACGGAACTTACAATACATGTGCATGTTCAATTATTTATGATAAATCTGAATATTATAATGAAATGGACACTTAGTACAATACATTATTAACAGAAACATGAAACATTGTACACACATCTAAAAAAAAAAAATGTTGCTGTGGGACAAAGTGAGACTAGCCTCCAATCAAATGCCATGTAGATATTATGTTTATATAGTGGATCAATGCAAATAACACAATAGATGTTTTGGAACTTTTGATATGTATTGCCCCTCAAGAGTAGCCTAGAAATCTAGACGCATCCTAGCGGCAGCGAAATGTGGTCTAGCAACTCTCCATAGGCTTTTGAGCTGGAAAAAACAAAAACTGGTCAGGCCAATCACATCGTGTATAGAGTCGGCGGGCGGGCTTAACACAATGACGGCACAGTTCATGACGTTCCGCGTGATTTCCATAGGTGATTTTCCTGCTACTTGAAAACAAGATGCAGCGGTCTTTCGAATCGGCTTTGGCCGCGACTCTGGAGGACTTGGAGTTAAGAGAACGTCACTTTAAGTCATTCTTAAAAAAGGAAGATGTGTTCGGAGTTTTGCCGACCTGATACGGCAAAAGTTTAATATATCATTAGCTCCGCTGGTGGAAAAATGCATGGGACTCACTCATCCACAACCGTTCGTTGCTCTGGTTGGTTGTAGCGTTATCCTATTGCGTGTGCAGAGGGATTTTGAAAGGTAACCGTTTATCCCGCCCCTCGGATTGAGGCATGTCAATGGAGAGTTCCCAGACCTAACATCTTGATGTAGGTCTGGCATGCCAGGCTACCTCAAGAGGCCACAACTGGGCAAAATTAAATTAAGCTTGTTAAGCTCGTCGCCATACCTGTCTCTCGTTGACTGACTGGCTACTGGCTTGCTTGTGTTGTTCATTGTGTGTCCTGTCCTGTCCGACTATGCGTTATGATGGGTCGTTCGTGATGATGGATCGACTCGTTCGCGAATGAGCTTTTGATGGGTCGTTCGCGATTCGCGAATGAGGCGACTCTAAGAGCCGGCTCTTTTAGGTGAACGTCGGGAGCTGGCTCGCATATCTGAAGAGCCGACTCTATTTTTACAAATTTAGCCTATAGAAATTAAATAATTATGTAAAAAATATATATATATATTATAGTCAAAGTCATTTAAAGAGCCGTTTGTGAGCCAAAAGAGCCGGCTCTTTTCAGTGAGCTGAGTCAAAAGTGCCGAATGCCTACTACTATGCGTGCTTTCGAACACCCGCCCAACTCTACCTCTGATTGGCTTACAATGACATTTTACTCTACCTCAGTCGTCAGCATGCGCTTGTCTCGTGCTCTGCCCACTAACCAAGGAAGAACAGTAAAAAAAGTATTTGCCTCTCGCTCAGAGATCTAGTTGGTCTGATGAAAAAAAAACCCAGCTTCATCAGTTATAATAACGCGCAGCGTTTTTTGGCAGTAACGGGAACGGCGTTATTAAGATGAGAAGAGTAATCAATTAGATTACTCGTTACTGGAAAAAGTAATGCCGTTAGTTATTCCCATCACTGATGCATCATAATATTTGTAAAATATTTTGCTATTTTTACATTTACATTTTTTATTTTGGGCCTATTAAAGGTGAATTATTTGATTAAAAACCTAGAATAAAAACATTTATTTATTTATTATGTGATAATTGCTCATAAAATCACAATTTAATGCAGACATTTATGTACCAATGGCTTTATAGACGATTGACACAAAATGTGGTTTGTGTTTCATGCATGCCGTCCATTGTGTGAAATTGTATACTTAATAATAGTAGTCGTTGTCACTTGATCTTACTAACGTTTAGTATGCCGTTTGGAAGTGTAATAATGATCGTAGAAATTATTAAACATGTGTAAATCATGGTTGTTATCGATTCCGGTTCATTCCCGGACACTAGGAATGTCAAGTCAGGTGCATTGCATTGTGGAATACAATATGTACAGTATATTCTGATGGTATACACATTTTGATGAATTTAGAAGGTCAAAATAGGTCAAACTTAGTCATTGATTGAGTTTGCCAATGAATAATACACATGTTTGGGTCAAATATAACCGTTGGGTTTAAAATTGAATAACAAAATGTAAACCAACTGTTGGGTTTGTATATATTTGACCCAAACATGGGTTGAAACAACCCAGCATTTGTAATAACTGTGAAAGTATTGTTCCCTTTCGTTGTCACTCCGAGTTCCGTCGGATGACGACGAATGGGGTTTCCCATTCGTCGTCCCATGCGTCCCATGGGTTTCCAATTCGTCGTCCCATGCATTTTTCTACTCAGGGAACGAGGGTTACATCCGTAACCGAGACGTTTCTCAATTCACAAACAAGCATCTTGAGCTCACATCAGTGTTAGTTGAAGAGCCGGGCCTGTGTGTTCGGGATGGGAGATCATGCACTTCTGTTCAGACCGCTGCTCATTATTATTCATGAGCGTGGGGGTGTTTCTGGAGCCTGGGGGCGGGATTATCTTCTCCCTCAGTGCTTGTTGTGCTGGAGGCCTCGGTGCAGGGGTCTGATGGGTCTGGCCTCGCTCCCCGTCTCTTTCTTTTGCTCTATCACTCTCTCTGGCCGCTTCGAATCACTCTGGGACGCTGGCTGTGCTTCATTCTCCGTCCCTTCCCTCCGTTTGCACTCAGAGAATGACCTCATATTCTTGAGCACAACTATATATTCTGCTGTCTAATGGTTGCAGAAAAGCCAACTGTGGTTTATTGGTCATTTTACACGAGTGGTTTCCATAGTTCCTAAACCACTGGCAGAGGTACCCAGTCTTTGATGCCTTTTGAGGGGACTCAATTAGCTCGTATAGGGTCTAACCCAGCACAACAGGAACTACCAGTGATGTGAGTGTACGTTGATTGGCTGAAACACCGGCACCTGCCATTTTTAACCCTCTGGTGCTCTTCGGTCAAAAATGTGGTTTTTGTTTTACTTTTTTACTTCATCGAAATGGTACGAAACTTGGTAAAGGTTTTGGCACTTGCTATGTGAACACACACACAAAAAAATATTGGACATGATTCTAAAAGGTAAAATGATCCTGAAAAAAATAGTCACACTTGTGCTCCTCGCTGTCAAAAATTAGCGCATTGGAAATGAATGGGAGACGAATTTCATCTAGTGACAACTTTTGGTACTGCGGCCAAACAAAATCTTACTGAAAGCTCTTTTTTGAGATATCAACCTCAAATTTGGAACACAACTTGTTTAGGTTTACAGTTTTCGAGTAAAACGTGTTTTTGAAAATATATATTTCATATAAAAATTTAACATAGTATTTTTGTGCATTTTTCATAACAATAAGCTTAAAATTCTTTAACTTTTTTTAAATTCACTTTTTTTATTATTATTACTTTTTTCCCTTCAATAATAATCTGCCAAGGGTCTTCTTTGAAAAGAGACTTAAGTTTGTGCTCTAAAGCATTCAAAAATAACGACAGTTTAAGTTGGAAATTTAATTTTCACGTCTAAGTGAATAAATGGATTATAAATATAGATTAAATATAATTTAGTACCATAAAATCCCATAAAAATACAAAATAAAAAACATTATCAAACTAAAATATAGTACATTCATTTCATTGAAATAAAAAAAAATCTGTCATTTTTTACCGTTACGCGAAGAGCACCAGAGAAGCCATGTAAACACACAGTTTACTTACTCCACAAACTAAATCCCTGAACATGGAAAACAGCAAAAGATGCCTCGACGCATTTAATTTAATATTCAACAATAATATTGATCTGCCTGCATTGATGCCATTATATGAGAACTAATCTGAGCTGGACGATGACATCACTGTTTTCTCCAGAGCGGCTATATACAGTTTATAAATTAACTAAATTAATAACTTTTTTACAACAAAAATGAAACATCACTGAACTTACTTAAGCTGGACTGTGATGCTTTTTTCTGCTGGAAAAAAACTTTGTTGCATTATTTTCCTGTCATCTCTGTAAAGCTTGACTTGACTTGAAGTCCAGGCACTTCTCCACCTTTACACTAAGGAGATGTTGATGTTGTTGCCTAAGGGCAACATATAGTTTTTCTTAGTGTGAAGAATTTGAATAATCTATGGAACCTTTTCCCACTATAAAGCACCCTATTGTTATATAGAAATGTGTATGCATAAATATTTATGTTGGGCAGAATTAGATGCAAACCAGCGGATCCGTCTCTAAACACCCGCCTTTGTCTCTGTGTCTCTCTAGGTGATGAGTATTTTGAGTAACCCCAGTGCCGTCCCGTCCCAGTCTCAGCACGATTTCTCCATCTCTCCTCTCCACGGTGGTCTGGAGGCATCTAACTCGATCTCAGCGAGCTGTAGCCAGCGTTCAGACACCATCAAGGACAGTCTGGCCTCGTCCCAGTCCTACTGTCCCCCCACATACAGCGCCACCAGCTACAGCGTGGACCCCGTCACTGCTGGATACCAGTACAGCCAGTACGGCCAGAGTACGTATACCTTCCCGCCATCAAACACTCTGTATATATGACTAAATGTCTAATGTTGTAAATGCCGGTAAATTTTTAAAATGTTTTTGAAAGTCTCGTCTGCTCACAAAGCCTGGGTTTATTTGATCAAAAATACAGTAAAATATAGGTCAATATATTTCATAATATACAGTGAAATATTATGACAATTTAAAATAACCGTCTTTTATGTGTTTCCGCCACTCAAAAAAATGAAAAAGTGACTTTTTATCTCGCAATTCTCGAAATTGCAAGTGAGATAAAAAGTTGCAATTACATTTTTTTATTCTGAATGTAAAATGTATTTTATTCCTGTGATCAAATCTGAATTTTCAGCATCATTACTCCAGTCTTCAGTGTCACATGATCCTTCAGAAATCACTCTAATATGATGATTTTCTTCTCAAGAAACATTTCTGATTATTATCAATGTTGAAATCAGTTGTGCTGCTTAATTTTTTATTTTTTTATTTTTGTCATGATTCATTTGTTTTTCAGGATTCTTGGATGAATAGAAAGTTCAAAAGAACAGCATATACAAATATTTAAAATAGGAATATTTTGTAACATTGTAATTGTGTTTACTGTCACCTTAATGAATAAATGTTTTAAATTCTGTAAAAAATATCTTACTGACCCCCAACTTTTAAACAATAGTAATATATCTCTGTTAAGACAATTAAATGTTAAGGCTTTTTTTTTTTAGACTGTGGCAATAAAGTAATGAAAACCGTTCATCGTCTACTTTATAGTTTGGTCTATAGCTTGTGTTTGGTGCAAAAGCCATGTAGCCCATTTGAAAATCAGCTTAATAAAGTCAAGCTACTTGTTTTTCCGTAAACTGCCTCTGTATTTATTCTTTATTTTTGAGAGAAATTTAAACTTTTATCCCACACGGAATCATTCAATTGGCCATTAAGCCATTTATAATGTTAAGCATCAGATCATCATATTAGAGTGATTTCTGAAGGATCATGTGACACTGAAGACTGGAGTAATGATGCTGAAAATTCAGCTTTGATCACAGGAATATATTACAGTTTACAATATATTCAAATAGAGTTCAAATAAGTTATTTGTAATTGTAATATTTCACAATATTGCTGTTTTTACTGTATTTTGGAGCTGTATCTTTTCAGTAGGGAAGCCATTATTGTTTTATCACATCCGAGTTATAGTTTATTTCCTCTCGGCCGCTGAGGGTGAGCAGTGCCCGACACTGACCATCTCAGGACACTCTGACCCCTCTGCCCATCAGACACATGCTCCTGATAAAGACCCCGGCATCGGCCCCGGGCTCCTCTGTTAGTCACAGCACTCTTCCCTTGACTGGGACACGGGCACTTCAAAGCCCACTTTACACCCCTAGGGTCCTAATGTCCTTTTATTCACCTCTCTCACACACACGCGCACACGCACACACACACACACACACACACACACACACACACACACACACACACACACACACACACACACACACACACACACACACACACACACACACACACACACACACACACACACACACACACACACACACACACACACACACACACACACACAAGCTTCAGGACAGGAAAGAATTGATTGATTAAATTAACATAATCAGAGGCTGATGTTGCCACAGAAGTCAGTGGCTTCTCTCTCCTGCCATTAGATGTGTGTTTTGTTACGTATATGTCCAACAAGCTTTTGAATGGTAGTGTTGAGGTTATCTAAAACTCTCTTTAAGGGTGTCTTCAAAGGTAAAAATGGTTAAAACTGCATAAAGTTTTCTGTTAAGGTGTAGGTTGCTAGTTTGGGTTAGTCTGTCTGTAGTCATTATAATGAGGTAGGAACAACAGAGGTCTATGGGTTGTCTTCAGTTAGATAACTAGATAAATGTGTGGGTGTGTGAAGTAGTGTCAGGTCCATCAGAAGGTGCAGAAGGCTTGATTGAAGAGATCTGACGAGCGAGTGTCAGGTTAATTATGAGTGAGATTGAGAGGACTGATCTGTTTAATGAGTCAGATGAGAGAGCTGCTGGAAATGAGGCGAGTATGAAGCATGAAATCTCAAACGCTTAGTGTAATAAAGACTGACACACTCACACACACACACACACTGAGCTGAATGAATGACACCAGGCCTTCTCTGTCTCTTTGGCCCTTGAATGGCTAAATGCTCAATTTAGTGTGTGCGTTATCTTTCATTACTCTTTATTTGAGTAAACACTCTGGTCAGAGGTTTAAAAAAGTGACCGATGACGGTATTAAACGTGTAATGTTGTCCTACACTATAAATGTGGATTGTGAGAGTGATATGAGGTTTGAATCACAAATGAGTGATTCGATGAGTCGGTTCTATTTGAATGATTCGGTTGGACCAGTGTTGTTATTAACTAAAACTAAAACTATTAAAAATGGCTTTCAATAATAGAAATAAAGCTGAAACAAAATAAAAATGTTAATTGAAAAACTTAAAAAACTTGAGGACTTGTACTCATCAACTGAAATAAGTTGAAGTAATAAAATTACTAAAACAAATCAAATAAAAATAAACCTAAATATGAATCTAAAAAACTAAGGTGCAACAAAATTACTAAAATTTTAACTATTAAAACACTGGATTCACAATACGGAGATGTTAAATAACATCATTTGGCACTTGTTTTTCATTTTGTGAGCATAAATAGGTCGTTTACGGTAAAAACAACCAATATATAACGAAAAATGAAAAGCATTGTGATTTTGCATGTGTTTGTGTGATTTTGCATCTGTCCATTTCATAAAACAACAGTGCATGTTTTTAACAATGGACATTTGGACAGTTTTTGAACCGTTCGTTGAAACAAACCATTTGAACGAAGCAGAATGAAGACCTTCCGAATGCTAGTGGTGTTTCATTAATGCATAGATTGCTGTGAGATTGCTTTTATGTGGAACTTGCTGCTCATGCCAGTGTGTCTGTGTGTTTCCCACAGCCGCTGTGGACTACCTGGCCAAGAATGTGAGTCTGTCGACTCAGAGAAGGATGAAGCTGGGCGATCATTCGGCAGTGCTGGGACTCCTCCAGGTGGAGACAGGACAGGCTTACTGAGTCAAACACACCTTCACACACCTCCTGAGCTCCCCCAGCTGGAGCTCTTTACCGCGTCAGCCGGCACAAGCGTGCGAGGGGTTTTTCTCCGATTCCCAAGACAAGACTCTTGCCATTCCTTTTGACGTGACCTTCTCGTGATTCTGGGCTTGTCACGGACCTCTAACTCGGACAAGAGGACCAGCTCGACGGACAGCAAGAACGCATTCCCAGCCATTTTCCAAAACGTACTTTCACCTCGCTGTGCATAGTTGTGTATGAATCAGTGTCATTACAACGGATAATCTCGCTTGTTTTCTATCGGTATTGTTATTACGATTGCCCTTACAGTTGCTGTAATTATGATTATCGTAGCTATTGTTTTCGTTTCGTTGTTTCAAGATCCACACGTAGCATTTTTTATTCATTTGAACACAACGTTTTTTTTTACGTGAAATGCTAGCAGTGGGCTAGTGTGTGTGTTGGAAGTGTGACTGCTGGTTTTCCGCTTTCCAGGTTCCCTCACCCCGAGAGCCGAGCGGTTTGACCTTCTCCGGCTTCATTTTTCACTTGACATTCCATGCAAACCTGGCCACTCTGTGGGAAGCCTGGCTTTAGGCATTCTCCCCGGGAATCAGCAGTGCTTTTAGAGGACCAGGCGTTTTTCTCTCGCTCAAATGCCCGTTTTGTCCATAGTGATCATCTATGAGGGGGGAGGGGGAGAAAACAGCATTGCTTAAGAAAACAATTGTGAATTTTATTCTTGAATTTTCTAGAGAGAAGCAACACGTTGTCCTCGAACTATAGAAGACAAAAAAATCAAGTCAAGAGATTCTGTTTCAAACATGCATATTATGATTTTGAGTTAAGCAATGCAAACTTTTTATTAACTAATGCTTAAAATGCACAAGTGGTTTTTAGACCAAGTACACTACCGTTCAAAAGTTTGGGTGTTTTTGAAAGAAGTCTCTTATGCTCACCAAAAATGCATTTATGTGATCCGTAAAAACAATAAATATTATTATGATTTCAAATAACTGTTTTCTATTTGAATATATTTTAAAATGTAATTTATTCCTGTGATCAAAGCTGAATTTTCAGCATCATTACTCCAGTCTTCAGTGTCACATGATCCTTCAGAAATCACTCTAATATGATGATTTGCTGATTTCCTATTGTATAAATGTTGAATGCAGTTTTTGCTGCTTCATATTTTTGTGGAAACCATGATACATTTTGTTTTCAGGATTCTTTAATGAAAAGAAAACTAAAAAAAAAAGTCTTTTGTAATATTATAAATGTCTTAACTGTCACTTTTGATCAATTTTTTTGCATCTTTGCTGAATAAAATTATTAATATCTTTCAAAAACAACACAAAACAGTCTAACTGGCCTCAAAGTTTTGAATGGTAGTGTATAATTTTGACAACATTCCCTAACCTCTTTCTTGGTTACTCTTTTTCTCTCCGGTTTTCCTTTTCTCTTTTTTATATTACAAACTGATACAAAAACACACCCAGGGCTCCTGTAATTAAGATCTCTCGCATTCACAAGTTTGTACAAAGAAAGTTGTGAACGTTCGACATTTGTGTAGCACTCGCGGGTGACATTTTGACACATAAATGGAATTGTACAGTAGATGAAGCAGATCGTTTATTGTTTGTTTATAAAGAATATGTTTTATACTAAAACAGAAAAGGTGTTGTGTGGTAGATGAAGCAGGGGATATCTGTAAGTCTTATATTGTAATTTTGTGTTTATATTTACTGCTTTGGTTTCTTTGCTTTCAATAGTTATTATGTATCATTTTTCTTAGGATTCAAAGTGTATGTGAGAAGCTCTCGATAAAAGACATTCACACTTAAAACTGGATGGAAAGTGAATCGTATTGCTTATGATTCTGTGCTTCAGATTTTCTCTGCTTAAGGAAGAGCACATTTGTGGATCCATAGTGGAGATGAAATATTGACATTGGACCCGTTTGGAAGCTGAAACTTTGCGATGGAAGTGACTGATGGCTCATTTAATGGACTGTGGGAAACACAGCAGTGTTTGGTGCTAACTGACCGCTTCTGACTCAATGAATCTTACAACGAATCTTCGAGCGAACCAGAACTCTTATTAAATCCACTTGACCCAAACCCCATCCCCTTCACTTTCAGCTGTCGATATCTCCATCAAAAGAGCAATGAAACTGAAATGACTTCTAGTATAGAGCATCCACGGCTAACACCTTTGTTAATCAACATTTGGATATTAAAAATATGATCCGTCATGCCCCTCTGGGACGTCAAACCGGGGACCTGCTTTCGTTAGCATTTGTGTTTATGCTTTCCTCCCATTTCCTTTCAGCATGTGTGTACGTTACCATGGTATAATTTATTCTGCTGTATGAAGTAGTAGCTTTAGTGGGAACCTTGTATTTGGTATTTACTACCTTCAGCCTGTTGGTGTCTTTACTGTAACACTGGCGTAAATGTTATCAATTAAAGATCTAAAACTGAAATAAGGATCAAACGTTCCGTTTCCAGAGTTTGTCTTTAGTATATTAAAGTATATTGAGTTTGCTTAACAAAATTTTAAAAGGTTTTAGATTATATTTTTTATGCATATTTCCATGTTTTTCTGTGGATTATAGAATGCAAAGGAATTTTGTTGTTGGAACTGAAGACAACTTTGAAATTGTCTACAATGTTAACATACATTATGTGTTTAAGGTTCTTCGTTTCATCCAGGTGAATATTAATGATCAACTTTGATACAAAGACTGGAAGAAATTCATAATTTTCAGTCACATAACTCAATTTCTATCTGTTTCAAGCAATGAATATTTAGAAGAATATTCCTCTAAAAAAATTAAGTTTTGGGCACTTGTGATCCATACTGTACATCACCTGCTGCCATATTTCAGTCACCTAAAACTTGTATTGGTAAAAATATGTTTTATTCATATTTATTATTTAATACATTTTTAGGTTGCAGGCTACTTTTTAACCAAACTTTCTATAAAGATGATTCTCAACTTATGAAAGATATAACAAAATTATTTGATATACTATTTTACTTAATTCAATATGTGTGTAAACATGGTAATAAATGGGTAATCCCATTCTATACTATGCATCCCTGTAAAAAAAAAAATATATATATATATATTCAACTTAAAAAGATGTGTTTGTGCTGCCTTAAAATTTTAAGTTTAGTCAACTTAAGTATCCAAGTTGTCACTTGGTACAACTTCTCATTTCAATTTGACTAAACTTAAAATTTTAAGGCAGCATGAACCCTTACTTTTTACTGTTGCATATTAATGTGTTCTTGGGGCAACGCGTACTGAAAAAATAAGTGTACCTAATAATGGGATTATGGGAGTAGTAACTTGGCAACATTTTTATAAGAATATTTCATATTTCATAGAAATATTAATATATATTTTCTTTCCAGATTCATTTATCTCCCCAAAATGCCTGATAAACATTCGGTGTAAGTGCTAGGACTTACAGCATGTTGAAATCGATGCCCTGTTTCGTAACGGAAAGTCATATTCTTATTTTAAACCTCATAACGTTTTCCTTTTCCTTTTTATTTATGACAGTTTGTTAAAAAAAAAAAAGTCAGATTGAAATGATAATTAAAAAATATTATCATAATTCCATAAGAGTTCCAAATGTGATCATTCAGTCAATGTCAGTCATTTTTAAAGACCATGTCATGGTGAAACCTCCAAACATTTACAGGACATCCAGGGCTAAATCTGTGACATGTACTGTATGGTCTCAGAGAAATCCGCTAAAATACAGTACAGAGGACAACAGTCTATGCCTGGGTCTCAGAAACACTTAACATGAAACTTTGTGCGTTGCGCTTATATTGTGGGTTCATCTGCTTGCTTCATTATCCATCATCAATAAGGTATATTTAACTTGATCTTTTAACATCACTGTCTTTCACTTAATGGTCTTGCCCTCCATGTGGGCGTTCCCAGGGTGTGACGTCACGTTAAATTGATGAGGTTTGCACCCTCTGTTCTTTCTAGAAACTATAAGATTGCTCCATTCCTTCCAGAAAATATCAGAGTATCAGGTTCCCCTATATCTGTTCTTTAAATAATCTATGGTGTGTCAGAGCTTGTTATTTTTCCTTCGGTGGATGCCACCTATAATACTGTACATATTATTAATTAGAAATGAAGAAAAAAGCATGTGCATGTGCATCAAAAACATCCCTTAAAATGATTTCAAATATTTTTTTCTCAATATTTTCTTTGTGCACATGAATAGACTCTGTAAACCCAAGTATGCACAGCTGTAGGAAGTCATTCATTCATTGTCCAGTTATGACATTCCTCCCGAACTGTCAGTCTGTCTGTAGTCTGGTTTGGCCTGGACTCGTGTGGCAGGTTCTGCAGAATGAATGTGGGAGACGCTGACACATAGGAACTGCTGGTATGCTGATGGCATGGATGCAGATTCCAAACCGCATGATACCAAAACCAGCTGCTGACTTTACACACACTGTAGGTGATTTCAATTCATCATGTTGATGATAGCTCAATGCATCCATTGTTGCTTTCTGATAAAAATGCCGTTTTTAATCTTTATTTATCACCACAGTCAGAGTTTCACATAACAGAACTAAGTTAAGGTTAGACACCATTCATTTTTGACAGGAGGGGAAAACTAGACTGAGGGATAGACTTACGGTTGATTCTACTGTTGTTTAACAACATATCGATTGTTCAGCTTACAAAATGTCTTTCCGGGAAAGAAAATCAGTAGACAAAAACTCCATAAAACAGTTTTGAAAGTTGTCAGTTGTGAAAATGATGTGATCTGGGATCTGCTTGCCATTGTAAAGATTTTAAGTCACAGCCTCATTTTCATTCCTGTCAAAAAATAATTACCCTGATTAAGGCCTATCTCATTTCCAAAACTTTCATAAGCAGCTAATTTCAAGGGCAGTATCATATCTGAAATATTTGGAAATATCAACCATAATTGTATCCATAAGGGGCTGTTTACACCTGGCCACTTCATGCGTTTTCTGTGATCGGATAGCTATCCGATCGTGAAAAGACCAGGTGTAAATGCCCTCCGAAACGCATTCGAGACGGATTTGAATCCGATCGCTCAAACCACTTCAGGAGGTGGTCTGGGCCGCATTCCAGGCGAAACTGGACAAG